GTAGCAAAGCGCGGGATCTGTCTAGCCTAATTTTTTTTAAACGCTCGTTCAAAAAATGTCCTGTCTTTTTACGATAAGCTCGTAGTCCCAGGTCTTCATTTAGTACTCTTTTAACAGTGGTTCTGCTTAGCCCCATCTGCAGAGCTAGGATTTTTTGTTTACGTACGGGATTTCGTTCGATTCGCGCCTTCACTGCTTTGATGACCTTATGTGTCCGAACTGTGCGAGGTCGGCCGCTTCTCTTACGATCTTCGAAGCTTGACTCTTCGGTGTATCGTTTGATAGTACGATAAACAAACCGTAACGTTATTTTCAAATTTTGAAGAATATTGAAAATGTCTTTTGGCGCGTAACCACAGCGGTGCAACGCGATAACCGCGATTCTGTCTTCTTTATTCGACCACTCCATATTTAAAAATGAATAAAAAATAATTTCTTTTTTATTTTCTACAAGCGCGAAAGTTCTATTTTTAAAATAAGTCGAAGAATTTCTGGCCAGTAATCGAAAATTAAAAATATAAGGTTTTGACAGAACTTATGACCCGACTAAGTATAACCTCGCGGTTTTCTTAGCGCTGGGTAGTCGTTGATGTATGATTCCAAAGTCTGATCATTATGATTTTTGTGAAAAAGCGTAATTCGACATTTGAATGTTTTTTTCATTTTATTTCCACCAGGCTCCAAGGTTCTGACGAGTTTCGAAGCCACTGTAAATCATTTTCAATATTTTCATCCAGTGTATTGCTTTCGCAAAGCAAAACAGGCAATGGTCTAGGAAGTCTAGGAGATGATGAAGGTGCAAGGCTTTCCTCTCTGCTTCTCTTAACTTTAGTTGAAAAAGCCCCTAACTGCTGTAATCGTCTTCGTTTATTCAAGACCTGGCGTACAAGCGTAGCTCTTGCTTGAAGAACCGCACCGGAGGCAGTTGTACTAGTACATGCAGGAATGTAGTAGGTAGTGATTCTTTCACAAGGGAAGACTTCTTTTATCAAATTTGCCCACTTAAAATATATTGGTCCAACAATTGTTGAGTTTTTGTTTTCACTTAATATTTCTCTGGAAATTGTGGAAGCCAATAAATTTCTAGTACTATCCCCATCAAGGGTTCCACCTTTATAAATTAAAAGTGAAGATGTGTCAAGTGACTTTAGTAATATACTTTCAAGTTACTGAAAAATAAAGTGGTATGAAATACAAGTATTTTAATCTAGTACATTTAGAGGAAACAGAATAAACAGTAAAAATAAAAAGAGGTTGAAAATAAACCTATGCCATATTATAAATAACCTATGTGTTTTGCAGAATGCATTGTAGCTATTAAGGCACTCTCAGCTTCTTCTTCATTTTTCAGGCTACCTTCCTCATGTATTTGTGGTTTTGAATCTAAGAATAACCACGCTTGACGTAGTGATCTATGTTTTGCAGGTAAAGCGCTTAGTATTTTAGTCATAACAGCTGCGTTACTTATTTCTTCACCGCTTTCTTTCAACTGTTTTGCTAAATTTATCTTGTTTTAGTAAAACTTTTCGTGCACCGTAATTTGTTTTAGGTCAAATTTTGCTTCATAAATAGATTCCAATATTAACATAATCTCTTTTGCCGTTTCACAATTTTCAATGAGCGAGATTTGACAAGGATCCATTGACGAGGTTATAATAAACATCGCCATTCCATCATCTCTTTCCCACTGTGTCGTATCAGCGATGTTGGGGTTTTTATTGTTAATATCTGATCCTTTCGCTTTTAAAGTATAATTCACTTGGAATTACCATTGTCGAAAGTTGTTACCGCTGAACTTATCAATTCTCATGGAATTGTTATCCTCCATGGTTGTAAGCGGTTGTCGCGGGGCTCCTACTTCTGGGTGATTTAAAAAAAACAACGAAGTAGGTGGTCTGCTTTGCGGGGCTCCTGATTCTATTTTCTGGCATCGCATGAAAGTCTTTTATCTTAAGTTTCTTTTGTACTAACATTATGTATAATCAATAAGAATATACCAACCAACTTTTTTCAAAACAAGATATCTAGAATGATATAAAAAAAATCAAAATTGAATAAAACACAAGGATTATGATTTTTCGTATATTTAATCAAATTTATATATATGCTTAATGGCAGTTATCAATTCTTAAAATGGATCCAACTGATGATGTACATTTCTCCGCCACCAAATATTACACAGCCCTTGGGTGAAATTTTGTTTATTCTGCTGCTGCCTAAATTTTGTTTAACATAACAAGCCCTCTCCTGGCTACTGGCTCTCTATTCTTTGAGTGTGTGTCCCGTCTGGTGCCACAAACTTATTAGTCGGGTCGCTGTGGTTGACCCGTTTGTGAATATAAGCATGCTGAGGACGGCTCAGACATGCTCTCCAATAGTCTGTATGAATAATGGAGCCTTCCTCAACATGTTTTTTAATTAGTGACATCTCCTCATCTCCCGTTTTCAATCATGCCAATCACCCAGTGGCCGTCGATATGGCGTCCACGATTACATTTTCTTTTTCCAAATTTTGTCCCGTCAATTTGTACTATTTTATTGGGGCCACCTATCTTCCCTTGGGCTTTCTGGTTTTCTAATTCATATATTGATACCGTCTCCCGGCAATAGCTGAACCAGTCTGCCGCAGTTCGTGTTGATATCACTGGACTATCTTCAGAACTGAACTCTTTTCTTTTCTGATGGTATGTCAGTCGCATACATGATTTGAAATATCATAGTGAGGGACAACCGTGAATTCTCAAACCATGTTCCTATTGCACGAGACACTGTCTTTGTCCGGCAGTTGCTCTTTCGGCATCTAAATTTTCCGACTAGCCCTGATTCCTTAGTTAAGGTCATCGGTGACCTATGGTAAGAGCATAATTTTAATTTAGGGATAGGTAAGTCCCTTTTCCTCCGCAAACTGGACACACTGGTCATGTGTCCCCAGCTTTAAAAACATTTTCTTCCAGTTCCACATAATCGGAAACAAGTATAAAAATATTGAAATTAATAATTACTTCTTTACTTGCCAAGATAGCTAGACAGACTACAAGCAAGCTACTTCTAAGCGATTTAAAAAATATTGTGCCATCCGAGTTAGGGTGGTTTCTTTGTCCAATTAACCCAGTAATCTGGGCATCGCAGGAGCAATATCGTCGTCCTCCGAAGAACTAGCGGTAACTGGTAAGCTACTACTAGAACCAGCTGCTACTCCACTGGGACCAGCAACCGGTTCTTCGAGGACCGACGACAGACACGGGAGCACAAGTGGCTCATTTGAGTCTAAAACTTGCACTCGCGTAGTAGGTACAAGCGGCTCTATTGAGTCCATCACTCGCACACCGGCGCAATTTCGTACACGCATGAGCGTTGAGAGCATTAAGTCAAGTCTAAATAAAATTTTAACCCTCCCCTGTCTACAAAGGCTGTGAAAGTAGAAAAATCACAAACGTCAATCATGAAGTAGTCATGATCTTTATGTGTACTATGCCTTATGAGCGAGGCTCGGCAATGTTGACATGTTAGTTTGTCTACTATTTTCATTACAATGTAGCCAGATGTGTAATACAATATATTGTTTTTATAGTCTAATAAATCTTTTCCGTCCACTAAGTGCATAAGAACATCACTCGTATCTGGCTCTTTTTCTTTTCTAGTGTTATCGTCTTCCACGATAGATCTTTTGGCACTTCAGAACCCAAGTATTGCAGAATTTCCATAATCGGGATTTGTACAGTTTGCATTAATGCTTGGTCTGACACTGTTATGAAATAGCAACTTTCGCATAATAAACATAAACTGAAGAGCAGTAGGGTTGTCGTTGCCCCTCCTCTTGCTCTCACATATGAAAAAAGATTTCAATGTGGTCTTGCGAGGCTTTGTATGGTAATTGGTAGGTTAAATTAACATTAAACAAATCAGTTGCTAATTTAGCAAAACTGTATGTGTCTATGATCAGACCAATAACCGCCTTCTTCCTTCTATGGGTCCGTATATTTTTCCCGTCGACCTTAATTTCAGTCAAGTAACGTTTTGTTTCTTCGAAGACCTGAGTCCAGACATGTGTATTGTTAAGCCGCAAAGGGGATTTGAAACCAGTTCCTACTGGATTTTTGGCGTTAAGAATGTCAAACAGCCTTTCTAAGTAGCGTAGGTATTCCACTGTGGCTCCACTTCCAGTAAAGCTAGGATGACAGATTGACCTCAGATAGTCAATTGCATCAGCCACAGAAGAACTGAGTACTTGGACAGCTAGTTTGACGTTCATTTTCTTGCCAATAAAATTCCTAAGCAACTTATTTTTTAATTTAAGCCCCTCTTCTTGCAAGTTTTGCAATTTCTGTACATATGCAAACTTAATATCTTCTTTTCCGATGACAAACAAGTTTCGGCAAATAAATTTCGGGTTAATTTAGTCATGTGCGCAGGGTCGAGTATAGAGTATGGGTGATCAAAATGAGTTTTCATAGTTGCAAGGGTAAAGTTGCACCCCCGTAGACAGAGCATTTCTATAGACGGATGAAATCTGTGTCACTGTAAGGGACAGAAAAAAAAGTACATACCATTGTCAAGGGTTACCATATTATGATGTCAATTTTACCCAATATTTTCAAAAAATATGTAGGGTGACTGGTAATAAGTGAACAAAGCTTAAACACGTGATTGTACTCATGATAACTAACAGCTTTTACTATGGGAACAAATCTAAAATCGTGAAAAAAAATCAACTGTTTAGTAAATTAACGTTTGCAAAATGTACTGAATAGCTGATATTTTTTACGTCATTTCGGCTTTACTCTCACAATAAAAAATGTTATCACGTGTTTAAAAGTATCGCTCACTAATTACCAGTCACTTAATTTTTTATGAAAAAAAAATATATATTTTTGTGAAGAAAAGAGGGTGTAGTAGCCCTAACGGGACTTTATAAATAAAGTTAGTGGACTGTATAACATAGGGTTTAATGCCGTTAAATTAACAATGGTCAACACATGAAAATAAGTAAGTGCCCGTGGTCAAGCGCGTCGCAGAGGGAAGTGAAGAAAGCGCGGCCGCGCCCCGCCCCGGCCTCCGCAGCACTCCCTTCGGTCGCCATCGCGGTTGCTCGATGAGGTGCGCCGACAGAGGGGGTTCTGGTGAGAAATAAAAAACCGATATGATAAAAATGTTTTATTCATGAACACACAAATTATTGTCCTTGAAAAAGCACTAACTTATTATGTATATTTCTGACTCTTGACTTAGGTTCAAAACTTTGTTTAGTACCGTGGTGAATGCGAATTTCAAAGTAATGCATTGCAATTGATTTAATAAGGAGAGTTCTGTGATTCCCTATAAAAGGCTGACTGTCAAAATGATCATTGACAAATATATCAATATTGGTACGTGTGCATTCCTTGAAACAAGATAGTACAAGTTTTGGCATCAAATTTTTGTCATTATAAAATGACAAAGCTTTATGTGAACGAGCTCGGAATATCTTTTCTGCCATTTCACAGACTTTATTTAAATCAGTTGAAGGATAGATAAGGCCTCCTTTGTCTCTCCTTGCAATGATTCTATGATATTTGTCTGTGATCAAAGCCAAAAGACAATACTCACATTTAATTACTTTTCTCAATTTTCTTGCAATAAAATCAGCAATATATGTTATTATTTGTTTAGAATATAGAGTAAGCCTAGAAGGATCAGTTAAATAATCATGATCTATGTTAATTACAGGATCCAAGTCTATAAATTCATCCGAGTCAGTAATAGGTTCAGAAGACAGTTAAGTATACATATTAATTTTTTTTCAAAGCGGATTTCGCTTAATGTTAAAATTTTAATTTCTTCTAGTGGAATACAATTTCCTGATGTAATATTTTTAATTTCACCGTGGACAACTAGGCGTTTGTAAGCGCGTAAGCGCTTTCAAATTGAATGGCGGTTGGATTATTATTAAACCCACCTCTAGCGCGAACAGAACTAAAAAACGATTCCAAATGATCCTGGCTTAATTTGTATACGGCCAAAAATTTCAATGCTTCAGGAAGTATATACTGATTATATATTTTTTTAACACTTTTGATGCAAATTAGAAACCCAAAACTTCCTACTTTTCTATTTGATATTAAAATGTTTTGGTTTTCTAGTTAAATAGGTTTCCATCTGGTTAAGAAAAATTTCTCCTTCTCTATGTTGTTTTTATAAATTGATTTTTTTAAACCATGTGTTAAAATTCCGGCTATTTAAAACATCAAATAAAATATTAATATTTTTAATAAATTCTACGGTAGCCTCCGATCCAGCAAATTCAGACTAACAAAGTTCTTTATTGCAAAACTCAATAGCTTCTACTTCTGCCACTGAATTGCTGAAAGTTTGCGCTGCAAGCTTTACTTTCATTATTTTAAAGTTGCACCCCAGAATTTCAAATGTTTTTATGTTTGCTTGTGCATCCGCTGTCAAAGACCTCACCACTATATTAATATCGGCCAGCATTCGAATCGCTGCCAGGACGAGCTGAGATTGTACGTGTAGAGAAATCTTATCTATAAAAAAATAAGCGATAGGGCTGACAAATTTTTCCTTTAGAGAGACTATTTGAAATACTAAGGCTTCTGTCGCAAATGTTTCAGAATCGCTTGTTAATATTCCGTCTAAATCAATACCACCTCAATACTTGTCTGACCCTTTATCATATTGTTTGCCAGCTTTGATAGCCATTGCGTCAAAAATCAAGGCGAACGTTCATTTCATTCTTTCCAGCCTCAACCTTTACAAATTCCATCACTTCTGTCATAAACCCCACGTTGCATTTATGCGTCGCTAATACTCTTCGCAGAGTCGCAGGGTGGAGTAAAGGAATACGATTCCTCAAAAATAAATAGACTTTACCAGAATAATAATACAATGACAAAGCAAACGATTTCATTTCATCTGAATATTTGTTGGACGTGTTAGATTTTGTCGTATTTAGTCTTGTATGAATATTTTCGAAATTATGTTGGACTATCTGTTCGACTTCAGAATAGATATCACATTATTTTTTTCATAATTTTTAACAGACATTTTAGGATACCTATAAGTACTTGTTTTACGTCTTTTCAGGCGTTGTTGTAAGACTTTGACATCTCGACGTAATTTCTTTTTTCGTGGTGTGGCAGGAGTTGCAGTCTACTGCAACTGCAAGATGCTATTTGCATACAAACACTTTCCGTGGTGCTTGTTTCCTTTGTGACACTTTCTTGCAGTTTTATCGTTTTTGAGTTTCTAGAACTGCTAACACTAATATCGATTGCAAATTATTCGTTTTGCTGTGAAGCTGTCCTTTGGATACCGAGTGCTTAAACAAACTATCTGAGTAGCGAACTATCTCGAACGCTGCATCAGATGCGAAACATAATTAACCCCTATTTACAAAGTTAGTAAACGCAGAATATTTATTAATATTACCAAAATAATCATGATCATATTTTTTTTTCATTTTCGGTAGTTAATAATTGATGACAAAAGTTACAAGTGTTTTTTTTTTGTAAAATTTTATGAACTATGAATCCTGTTATGGGCAATTTTATAAAAGTTTGTCAGTTGCGCAAAAATAGTAAAAAAAAAAATATCATTATATTGGGTTTTATTTAATTTAAATCGATTTCAGAACATCTAAATTATGTGGAAATAACAAAGAACGAGTGAAAACTGGGTTAAATACCGAGAAAATTACTGTTAAATATCAAGTTACGTATAATCTTCTTCCACTGCGTTACATATTACTTATTTTTATTTAGAGGCCAAGTAAAAGATAGAAAATATGAAAAATAGTTTTTTTATTAGAAAATTAAACGCTTTTTCAAAAAATCTTCTGAAAATGTATGTAAGAATTAAATAACGTAACAAAATCAATACTTTGTATCCTCTTAGTTACAATAAGATAAATTGTACACAATATCTTTCCGTATATTTGGCAATTATGAGATCAAATAGGAAACTTATACTACTTATGTTATAATAGCATAATGTACTTTTAATCTAAACAAAATGTTGAGATCTTCCTCATTTAATAACAAAAATAATAACCAAAATTAATTACCACAACAGGTGGACCGTCACTCAGTGGATGGGTATGGAAAATGTAAGGCTTAGTTTACATCAACTACTTAGAAGAATAAAAAAGAAATTAAATAGGTACTTAATGTTATAAAAATAAGCTAATTGAAAAATAATAATACTATAACGATTCTACAGTTGAACGTTTTTGGGTATACTCGTAGAGTTCTTTTATTTAACTGTCGCATGGTACTTTATCTAGTATTATTTTTAAAACATTAATTTAACAACATATAATTTGGTGGAAAATTTAAAAGAAGCCGTAAGACCTGACTGACATTAATGATTTTAATTCTCTTTTTAAATTTACTTTCCTTGTTTATTCGAACATAATCGCACGTTCACGGCCAAATATTCCATCTCGTCAGTTCTTCTGTTACCTATGGTGATTGAACAGCTAAACGAGACAGAGCACCTAGTCGCAAACACACGACCCTGGCGAATAGACCTATTCGACACAAGCCTTTAAAGTGTTAAAACGTTTTACTTATCCACCCAAACAAATATCGCAAATAAAATCGTTATAAGAATCTTTTGGTATTTGGCAATCATTGCAAGAGAGACATACAAATTTTTTACATGCCATACATTTTTGCATTAATTGCAATGGCTTTCTTATTTCACATTGTGGGCATTCAGCATGACGGCTGACGACATTTCGAATGGACTTATTATATGAATGATTTTCTTTACTCCTTTTAGGTATCTTTTTTGGTTGTATATCACAGTTTTCTTCTTTAGTGTAATACCGTTTCTTACTTATTTTATTATATTGTTCATTATGTAATTTATGGCTAATAAGTTTATTCTCTTCAGATTTTAACCCTGTTTCATTAAATATTTCAAAATTAGAAAGGTCTTCAATATTATTTAAATTAAATAATAAATCATCATCTAAAGGAATTATTATAGAATCAAATACCGCATTAATAGTCTCTTCTAATTTGTCTTGTTCCTTATCTTTACAGCCAACTGTCACTCCATCATTCACTTCTTCTAATCTGTTTTTTTCTTCCTCTTTTGTTTTAAATGTCGCATCATTGATTTCTTCGACTCTTTCTTGTTCTTCTTTATACTTTCCCTCATCTCTTTCTATGTCTAGTTCTATAATGTCTTCATTTTGTTCAAAATATTTTTGTGTGGAAGAACAAGTTGCTATTTTGGTTTTCTGAGAAATTGGCACCTCATGAATTTCGGCTGTTACTGTAACTTTATTAGATGGATTAGAGCGATTTAATTCAGTTTTCTTTGTTGACTTTCCATACGTGTGGGTATTTAAACCAAAGCAATCGCACAACCCTCTCTTCAAGCCGCAAAAACAAGATAGCGATCGATACTGAATAATGCCAGGTGAATTAGCAATGATTTGGTGAATCTGCATGGTGCCTGTTAAAGGTGTCAAATCGCTCGGAACCAATTTCGCTACATTTTCTATGTCACTGTTGATGACATAAAGACATTTGACCGATTTCATAGAATTTGATAAGAGCTCAACAGCTTGCTCACCATTGGAGATATCTTTGCCGTACGCAACCTGTTTGTCTAAGGACCTCTTCACTGCGCCACCTATGCCGTCTGCTACTGACTTTCCGTGGCCGCTTTCAGTAAACGACCAGGTTGAGTATTCGAGACCCAATTTGAATGTAAAAAAATTATGTAAAAAAAAGTTCTTCTTTTGACGATATTGCGTGCAGGGGCCATCAGAGTAGAAATGTATAACCTTAAGCAAAGGATTTTTATGTTTGGCTATCTTTATTATTGGTATCAAGTGTGCCCATATGGCTGCTGGATCATGACTGTTATTATCGGAAATTGTGGTAAAAGATTGTGATCCTCCTGCCCAATAAATCATCCCTGTATGTAGGGTAAATTGTTGCTTTGATGCACCGAAGTGCATTGATTGTACTTCTTCGGCAAGTTTGCTGCAGTAATTTTCTGAAAAGTCACATAGTATAACTGCTTCATTTTCTTTAAGTTCTGTTATGCATTTTCTGTATTGATTTTGTTGATGTTTCCAATTGTAATAATGTTTTTTGAAATTAGGTATTATGTTTTCAAAACTCTGCATTAATGTTTCTATGTTTCCAGTTTTTCTAACTTTCGCCATTCGCTTCGTTTTTACTGTTTTATTCCCTTTTTTACTGTCCTTGTATTCATGTTTAACATTTTCCCACTGTTCCCATTCTGTCTTTTCATTTATTTGTTTGTCCTTTAACTCGTATTCCAATTTATGTTCTCTACATTGCTCACATTCTCCATACATACATTTTTTTGATTTAATATCACATGTTAATTGACTGAAAATATTTTCTACTGTTTTATATTTTGGCAGCACTCCAATTTTTTGCAGTAAAGAAAAGATTTTTTCGAAATTGCTATGTTTAATACATAGGCAAGTATCTCTGTTTTGTACAGTAGGCGATAGGACAAAAAAAGGTCGATATTTATAAAATGTGGCAAACGATTTTGTTCCACCTTCCGTTCGATAAATCTTATAAATATTAAATAACGTATCTGTAAGATATCTTATTTGCTCCTTTTGTTTTTTAAACGTGCGGCATTCTTTTTTTCCTGATGTACTTTTACTTATGTCATCTCTCATGTAAAAGCTTTGTATTTCTTTGCAGGTCTCATTTTCTTTGGGTGTCTGCCATTTACTTCGTGCTATTCCTTTAAGACCTATTAATTTAGATACGAAAGTTTTAATTTTTAATTTTTTTGTAGATTTATTTACAGCTAAATTTTTGAATATATTTTTTTCTTTATATTTTTTGCATTTTTTATAGGAAGCTTTTAAACAACTCTCCAACATTTCATCTCTAGCTGTCATTTTGTTAATAGTTTCTTTTAGAGTTTGAATCTTGTGATCAGTTGCCTTTTTATAACGATAGAACCTCTTTTTAGAGGAGTTAAGCGCTGTTTTTAAATTCTTGATCCTTTTTATTGCGGCATTATATCTTCGCATCAATGTAATTCTTTTCGACGTTCTGTCCCGTTTAGGTCTCAAATTCTTATCTTCATTCTTTGGATTTTTATTTTCCTTCTGTTTCCGTTTCTGTTCTCTCCATTTCTTTCGCTTTTTTTCTTTCTCATCTTCGGTTAGCTCAGATATTTTCTTACTTTTTTTTTTACTCTTTCTGCATGTTTTTTCTTCACCTCTTCGTATTTTTGTGGATTTTGTTTCAACTTTTCCCTATATTTTTTCATGCGTTCTGCAGCGGTAAGCGCCATTTTGACACCTAATAAAAACAGTAAAAAAAATATTATGTAATACCTAATACAGAGAATACTCAAGATGACGCCTTGATTCATCAACGACCACTCCAAAGCCTTGGACTTAGAACGCTGGGATTTGGTGCCTTATATGATGTAGGTATACAAAGAATAAGAAAGGATTTTCCAAAATTCTCTTCCTAAAGGGATGAAACAGGGATCCAAAGATTGTATGGAGAAACTACTTTCACTCGGTAATGCTGGTAGCAGAAAGTAGTTACAACTTATATTCGTGTAATTGACAACATTTCAAGGCCCTTTAGGTTCATAACGTCAACTCCCCAAAACGTCCACTCTCCCAAAACGTCCACTTCCCAAAACGTCCACTTCCCAAAATGATAATTCCCTAAATGTCTATATCCCATTTCGTCCACTTTCCCAAAACGACCACAAATGTATAATTCCCAAAAAGTCCACTTCCCATAACGTCCACTTCCAAAAATGGTAATTCCCTAAATGTCTAATTGAGTTGACGTGATGAACCTAAAGGTTCAAGGCAACCACTTCCATAACTAAAAAAAAAAACAAACAAACCAAATTAACTAAATCTCTCAAATTGAATTTAAAAAAAAAAATCTAAGCAGTCAAAGAAATATTTCTAAGATTTGAAATTAAATAATTTTGCAAGTCAGGTAAAAGCTTACAAAAAATGCAGAGTAAAATTACGTTTTACGTAATAAAATAAATACAATCCAAATTGAGAACCTCCTGCTTTTTAAGTCGGTTAAAATAACCATGTACACGAGGTTTTATGTTCCACTGAGTTACGAAAATCCATCCGCTGAGAAAATGTTTCTCAGCTGACGTAACGGATTTTGGGGTTGGGTCAATTCTCTATAAAATTTTCGTGAAATAAAAGGTCTAATTCAATCAAATGCTTGTTTAACTAACAAATGATAGATTATTCTTCTCATAAATATACTTTGAAATAGTAAAACAAGCGTACTTACAACGTTATCACCGTAAATCAGTGGAATTTCTAAACAGCACTATCACGAACTTCCACTTCTTGTGACGTTTTAAGTCAAACTGAACGAAAAAACAACATGGCGAAGTTGCTAAATGAAATTGTAGAGTTGCCATAATTTAAAAAAAAGTTTTAAGTTGGTAGAATTTTTATTCTTCCTGAATATATTTGCGTAACTCAGTAGGAAATTCCACCAGGGCCAATTTTTTAACAATTTATTCAAACATCTTTTTATTATTTTATACAAATATTTATTAAATATGAATTCTTAGAATGAAAAGTAGACTTTGCGTTCTTTATAATGACGTCAGTATTATATGAATATTGCGATCCAAATTTAAATAACGCGGCAAAACATATGCCTTACACAGGGTGGGACAACGGAAAAAACGGCATTTTCAAATTTTAATTATTTATTTTTATTTTAAAATACTGGTAAATGTCTAAAAATAGGGTTTTAGTACATTGCCCAACATTCTAGTTTTCTATTGAAATAAAGTTTAATCAGCTAAAATGTTACAATCAAACGAGAAAAAAAAAAACTAAAGGGGACAACGCCTAAACGCCACATACAAACTTTAATAAAAATGCCCATCAATAAAACCATAGAGTTGTAAACTTCTTTTTAATTTAATTTTTAAAGTTGTACGGATTTGGAGCAAAGTTTTACTGGCAGGCGCAAAATCACCCCAACTTACGGTACTTGCTGACCAGTTTCCAAAATATCTTCGGTAGGTATATCATTGCGTCTCTTGTCGCCCGTTTGTGATCTTATTCACGAGTTTAACCCTTTGCTCGGCTCCAATAGATCGAAGCGTAATGTTTTATAGCTTCTCGCGACCAAACTTATAACACACGACACATTAAAAAATCTAGTGCAAGGCAGCATTAAAAAAGAGTAAAGATTTTGTCAGTATCACTGACTGTTGAGATTTTGATTACTTAGCTAGTTGGGGTAGATGGCAGAATTTTCCACGAAAATAATTGAAATTTAGCCAAATCCGGGGGCCTCCTAAACCAAAATACCAGATGAAGGATTATTAACTGTTGATTATCCACGCCTTATTTTGAGCCATAATGCTTTTGTAATTACTTATGTTAAGAATTAATTAATAGTATTTCTGACTTGGTGATACCTAGATTTCTATCGTAGTCATTAGTGATATGTGAAAGAAATTCAGGACTGTATCTTAGTTATTAATTAGTTTTGTCATTATTATTGTGCTGGCCCAGAGGTCAGGTTGAGGCTTTAGTTTTTTTGCGTTAATTGTAACTTCATGTCAATTTGTCAATCACTGTTACTGTTAAAAAATAATGTCTGGTAATAATTAATTCGCTGTCGCCAACAAACAACTGAAGTCTCAGTTATCGTAGAAAAAAACACTACAGGACACACAGGACCTTACGCTACATAAACGACATCTGTTGTGTGAAAAAGTAAAACCTCATTGTCCGCTAGTCTGTTAATTAGTATAGGATTATTCTTATAAGGTGAACCTTGCTGTTGACGCTTCTAAAATGAATTTATCAATGAAAATGTTCTATTTATGTAAATAATGTAAAGTTGGTTGCTAACTTAGTCTGTGTCATCGCTCCCTGTTATATACATAGATGAGTGGGTTATTTGTTAATTTGATTTTATGGTTTGTATAGATATGAAAATAAATAGTTGGGACGCTCGAGAACCCACTCGGTTTTGACAAAATCAAGGACTACACTACACATTAAGTTAGCAATTATACTCCAGCTTTCACATATACAATTGTCACAAATGTTTTAACGTTTTACTTTTTATTGTACCTAATAGATTTTTCTAAATTTTAACTGGCTATGTTATATTATTATATGTGTCAAAAGTATTGCAACTCTGTGATATTAAGTTCTTTTGTTACTAAATTGGCATTTGTTTTTATTAATTTAATGTTTATTTTTGAATTGAATATATTATAATGTTGATAACTGAGTTTTTATTTGGAGTTATTTCCTTTAATTTGTGCATCACTTGTTTCGTGAAGGAATCGAACCCTCACGCCGCCGTGCATGGGCAGGGGGGGGGGGGGGGCATCTTCGTAGGTATGACTTCTCTCGCTAGTGTCAGTCTTACTGACTCAAAACAACCTCGTTTTTCTTCTGCTTCTGTGGTTCGAACTAGTAGAGCTTTTCTCAGTTTACACCCGTGACTAAACCGCGATTTTTAGTTTATTTAGTATGTCTCACGATAGTTATTATAAAAACATCACCTTTCCCGCCCATGGTAAGACGAGAGAGTGTCTAACTCTTATTGACTAAAAAACCCTGTTCCTTCTCCTGCTCTGGGCCGAGACCGCGGTGACTAATTGCGCTTAACCCGCAACCCAATCTCAAGTGTGGGAGAGCCATGCTTCGGCACGAATGGGTCGGCTCGACCGGAGTGATGCCACGGCCTCACAGAAGACCGACGTGAAACAACCACAGCGTTGTTTCGCCGTGTGAGTGAGGTTACCGGAGGCCCAATCCTTCCCCACTCCTAATTCTCCAAATCCCTAATAGGTCAGCAACGCACTCGTAACGCGTGCGTTCGCGCAGCGGAATGTTGTTGAATTTAAAGATTTTAATTATGCAGATATTTAGTGTATGACGTCGTATAATTGTGTATGGTAAAAAAAAATTTGTGCACGCAACCATTGTGGAGAAATTCACCAAAAACTGATTCCGCTGGGCGAACGTTGTCCTGGCGGAACTTTTTTTAATCCATAGACTTTAGAAGAAAAGTAACTCCTCCGTTGCGTGTGTCCATGGACGGCGCTGATTGCTTACCATCAGGTAATCCGTCTGGTCGTTTGCCGACCAATTACATAAAAAAAACCGGCTGAACCTGTAATAAAGACCTGGATTGTCTATCTATGCTAAGCGAAGTCCTGTATGGAGTACTGCTCACATTTTTAGGAAAGTGTGTGATGGAGCTACACAACTTGTTGATTCCTTACCACCAGACAATCGATAAAACTTCACCACATCATCACAGGTATGAAACGATTCGCCACCAGTTTTTCATTTTAGAACCGCTAAGGAGTAGTTTTTTGTGAGTGGACCCGGAAGGGTAAGTACAAGAAACCTGGATAACCTTAAGGCTCGAGTAAATAAGTTGCTTGTGGGTAGGCGTGCTGTATCACACGTCGTATCATGGTTTACCACCAGGCGAGGTAGATGACAAATAAAAAAATATCGTGTTTGTATAGTATTTAGGTAGTTTGCAAGGTGCAAATATCATTTAAACAGTTACCAGTGTAGTTCTAAATACTGCAAGTGAAACAGAAACAAGTCACAACCGATTAAATTATTTTATTTGTGTTGGCCTCAAAATATTCATAGTACATTTTACAACAAATGTTATTTCATTACATTATACTTATCAATGCAAGAACTTTCAAACTTTAAATAGCTAAACATTTAAAAATTGACAATTTTAGCGAACTATAGATAACTATGCATCGATGAAATTTCCATAAAGTACTAGTGTCGAGCGAGTGGCAAGCTTAAACAATTTATATAGTACATGCACCGGGACCTGGCGAGTGAAATAAAATAAAATCACTTGTGTACTTAACTTTATTTGGTAACTGCAACAAATAAGCTTTAACAACATCCAAGCGAAGCGTCTAGTATAGTACAGGGTGGCGAGTGCCGGGTCGGGACTCGGGCTGCAAGCGCTGGGACAAGCGGGTGGCCAACCATTTACTATCGATACAAATAAAAACGACTACTCGCAAATATATTATCACGCTGTATTTGATGTAAAACTTATTACAACATAAGTAAAAAACTTAATTAAAAAAAGAAGTGCAGTAAGAAAGAAATCTCCTCGTCCACAGCTCCCGGCGACGGGCTGGCTGGCTCAGAGACATCATCCAAGATCCACGAAATAATTTCAAATTGTACTGATTCAATAGTAACACGTGCACTGGCCGCACATTGCGTGAACACAAGAGAGCGAACAAAGATTAAGTAGCAAACGATAGCAACGTCACCGTCGGTACAAACTGGAATGTCACACAATTCATAAAAATACTGATTTGTTAAACAACAAAAACTTATTCATACAAAATATAATGAAAATTCACTAGCCGAGGATGTTGCAACCTGAACCCACCCCAATAAATAAGTTAACAAGGTTACCATAATAAAAAATAATCCCATACCGCACCCTAGATTACATTCACCTTGCAACACCCTCTCTCACCACTACCGGAGGCCTGTCATATATATATTTAGTGTACAACATATTGCACTGAACAATTTCTGCTGTGCCGGGACTACTGAAGTAATGCGGTGTTATCGCGAACTATGGCGGTGTGTAGCACAGACTGACCACACACAACAGACGAGCGACGAGCGCGTAACAGAACAATAAATATCTCTAGCTGTTACACCGGTCTCGTTGCAATCTAGATGACGAATTCAATTACAATATTTATATATTTCTTTTATTAATTATTTAATTAGGTAACGACAACACTACCTGTTAACCATTGACTACATCGACTTATTAAATATTATCTATACCATATTATATCATTTTTCTAATGGTAATCTATGCCCTCGCTTCACCTGAGATCGCTGGTCAATGCGTGGCGGGCAATCTCTACTGTCATACAATTCATTGATTTATTTAATTAAGCGTTAAGATAGAGTGAGAGTCATCATACAATAACATCGCCGCATTGGTACAACTGCCTGCAGTTGTGGTAGTGTTACCATGAACAAAGCGGTAGTGGGTCTGTACTCGTTACATGTACTGTGCTCTAACACGTTCAACTTATGATATTTCAAAATATAAAAATACAAATGCAAACTATGTTACTCCATAGAAAACAATAAAATCTCAAAAATGCTACATACTCTATGTCCTGTGGTATTTGTTGATGGTAACACTATGCAATCTCGAGCTCGGGCAGAGTGGGATCTCTGCAGGTATGACCACGCAATCAATACATTCTCGACTGAGCTACATTATACTATAATGGACAAAACATTATTGTTTTCGCGTGAAATAACCCCTTGAGTCAAACGTCTAACATTGATAATAAGTCTAATACCGAAATGAATTTATAATTCAAGTTATGTGTGTGAGGGCGTTGTCCCCTACTCGTTGTCAGCTCGCATGCCGCGGACCTCCCCCTGGCGACGCAGTTTCTCGAGCTCCTCCTTGGTGCGGTCCTCGATGGCGCGGATGTCCGCCATGGTCATGCCGAACCAGTCGTCGATTGAGCAGAACACTTGTCTGAAGAATTAACACATAATATTTTAATTAGTATTATTTAGAAATGTAGTAAGAGGTCTTGGTATTCAGAGTAAAGTGTTAAACGTTGATTCTGTACATCAATTTAACAAAAATTAAGGATGTCATTATCGTCAACCCAATCTTAACGGTTCCGCTGATTAAAACATAAATATTAATTTTATTAAATCACCACGGATTCGATTAGTAAAATTGTGGATAATAAGTCACTAAGTTGCTTAACAACCCGGGAGGATAATGATTTATTAAATAAAAGTTAAGTTTTTTCGGAGAATCACCTTAAAACCATTTGCATCTACCAAACTATTCCATTTCCATCAATCCACACTAGCGAAATTATTAAAAGCTATTTTCCTTATAACATGTTTTACGGGATTTTTTAAATTATTAATGATAATATCCGTCTATGTAGTTTGCCTATCAACGGTATCGTATCTACATATACAAAATAAATATGATAATGTGTTGCTAAGCTGGTAAATCGGACAAACTGAACCGTACCTATCCAACTAACAGCTGATATTATTAGGTACAGATCATAATCTATTCCTTATAATTATAATTTATAATAATTCATAAAAATCGATCGCAAAATGTGTTGGTAAGCGCATATCTCAACAACGTCTAGACCAATTTTGCAAATTCTTTTTTTTGTTGTGTTTGTTATTGTCAATAGAAGGTTCTTATCAAAGAAAATATGTATTAGAAAAGTAGAGGGGAAGATTAGGAAAGAGTGATAGCGAGATAGTTGGACGCGTGCGAAGCGGGGACGGGCCGCTAGTATAATGTAAAAATGGATTGTAAAATATATGATGGTAAATCGCATAATGCAAGAACGTGTGGACTAATTTCGGAAATTAATTTCTTCCTTATGGTTTCTTTGTCAGGTGTAGGTTCTTATGGAGAAAAAGTGTAGGGGAAAATTGGGAAATAGCGACCCTTTTGTCGTTACTGAGATAATTTTACATTACACCCGTCGAAGCTAGTTCTAAATATCTTGGTTGATCTAAGTAATTGGATAGAACTAATCATATTATTGGATAAAGTGGAATTATATTATATTATATACAAATATAATATGTCGAATATAATATACGTATGTCGTGGTGGCCCGGTGGTTAAGGATCCCGCTTTTCATGCATGAGGGTGTGGGTTCGAAACTTGGCAAGTACCAATGTGACTTTTTCCGAGTTATATGTATATGTACTTTCTATGATTATTTAGACACCACTGACATACGGTGAAGGTAAACATCGTGAGGAAACCTGGACTTATAATTTCTAATTATAAGTTTGAAATCGTCAACCCGCATTAAGCAAGCGTGGTGATTAATGCTCAAACCTTCTCCTTTGCTCAGCAGTGGGCACTTATAGGCTGGTGATGATGATGATATACAAATATAATTCCACTTGATCCAATAATATCAATCAACCATGATTAAATGTTGCTAACTAAATAGAGAGTACTCCTAAACTAATTAACCTATTTCATTTTATGTTCTGTTTCTTATAGTCAGGAGGTGTTTAACTAGTTATAACCTTGAATTTGGTTTTCAATTATAAAATTTAATTTTTGTATCAGTATTTTATAAGGTTTATGTTTTCCTTAAAACTGTAAAATATAGTAACTAGGTATAATATCACTATACAGTGATAAGAACACGTGGCCCAGAGCATTATCTTGTACATTAACGTGTTATCTATTATTGAGAGATAACAGACACGCCAAACAATTAATTATTACAACTATGTGATAAATATCACCTAATATTATAATGTAGAAAACTGTACTCAGTTAAGACAAAAATGTTAATTGCCATTTTGTATATTATTTGTAACTATTTCTCAATATTCTTAACCTAAAATTAAATTAAAATAAATTTTGAATTCGAAGAATGATTTTTAATTGGTTAGAAATAGCAAATACAACAATAAAGTAATAGCGAAATCGGTTCAGCCGTTTTCGAGATTAGCGCTTAGCAACATATTTATGTATTTATAGATTTTGTTCCATCCTTCTGTCTGTGTGTCTCATTAACCATAAAAGGCGGACCTTTATAACTATTCACATTAACAATTATCAATTTGGAAAATTCACTTGGTATAGTATACCAAGTAATGCCTGAGTGAAACTAGGATGAACCTAGGGTGGTCTTATACTTATGTATAATAATTAAAATATGTAACGAACCTATGGAATATGGTGAACAACCGCCGCTCCGACTTCTGGATCACATTTTCTACTTTACTCTGAAAACAGAAAAGAATACACGTTAATAATGCATTTATTAGCATAACGCAAGCACGTGTTGGAGAGCCATATTTCAGGTCGGCTCGACCGGAGTGACGGCCTCACAAAAAACGGGCGTGAAACAACGACAGTGTGATTCGGCGTGAGCAAGCCGTGAGGGTAAGGTTACCAGAAGCCTAAGCTCTCTCCCCATCCCTTCCCAAACCTTAATTATCCGAAGCCCTTATCCCCAAAAGGCCGGCAACGCACTCGTAATTCCTTTGGTGTTACAGGTGTCCATGAGCGGCGCCGATTGCTTACCATCAGGTAATCCGTTTGCTTGTTTAAAAAGAAAACGATCTGTAGATATAAGAAAATACTTTAATAAATACTAACCTGGAGTCCAAACCACTTGAACTCAGCAGTGACGAGCTTGTAGCACGTCATGACTGGTTTGACATCGTTCTTCCATGTGGGGCCCACTAGGGGTCCGCGGCCCGTCTTGGTGGACTTAAACTTGGTGGGGTCGGTCTCTGGTTTGTAGTCAGCAGAGGACAGGGGGTCATTCGCGATGTCTATGTGGACCACCTCGCGGTTCTTTAGTTTCTCAGGCGACAGCTCGTGTACCTGAAGCGAACATATTGGAAAATTAGAATTTGTATTTCGACTTGAGAAAATTATATAAACTTATTAACTATGACAGGATATTTATAATAATGCATAATTAAATATATGTTTGGATAAAAAAGATACATATATTTTTATTTTGGATTTTTGATCCAATTGAAATTAATGTTCTTTGACTAGGTATCACACAATTATTACCAAATTCTTTAGACATTTTTATAATTTTCTTTGCTCTTCGAATAAGCAGTTGTTTTTATTTTGGGGCCAGTTTCATAAAAATATTTAATTTATACAATTGACCAAAAAATTCGAGGACCACTTACATGCCCATTGTGACATCAGGCAACACACAACCTCATTTTTTCACAAATCAAAAACAGGACCTTAGTAATACAACAATAAAGTATAATTTTATTAAAATTTCATTATTGACCTTGTGGTAGGTACGTCAGAGAGTAATGGCGGTAGTAATCTCATTACTTGCGATTACAGCTAGCGTGTACAAAGTATAATTATAGGTAATTTAACGCGACGTCCCACCTAGGTGACTCGTACTTGTGTTTATGTAAATATTACCACTTATCTAACAGACAGACAGATACAAGGTACTAATAAATAAAAATAATGTGTAGGAGAGCTATGCTTTGGCTCAACCGGAGTGATATCATAGACGGTCCGGTCTATGGTATCAGCCTAGGTCGCATGAAATAACCACAGCGTTGCGTTTTGCCGTGTGAGTGAGGTTATTAAAGCCATATTCCCACTTCCCCACTCCTTATCTCAAAAGGCCGTCATTTATTTATTATAATAAGGTAGGCTCACAGCTTTGTATACAAAGTAGTTAAAACTATTGGTTATATAGGCAGTAGGTCTGATAAATTAGCCAGTTACGAGCTAACTAAATAATATATCCCATTAAAAGAATCTTTACAATCCAGATTTAGTTTTTATCTATTGATCTAGGTTTATTGCACTATCTATTTCGACACCTGGACATACTTGCTGATGATAATCATAAAAGTGATAATTAAGTTATGTAAATATCCCATAATCCCAGGTGTTACTCCCCAAAATCTGGCTGATCATCAAATAAAAATATCAAACACATTTAGTATTCTGCTGATCGAGTCATTAAGTGAATGTTTTTTTTTTTGTCAAAGGCATATCACCAAATGACTTCTCCCGCCCAGGGTAAGGCGAGAGAGAGTGTCAGACTCTTACTGACTAACCCCCCCCCCCCCCCCGTTCCTTCTCCTGCTTGCGGTCGAGGCCGCGGTTACTGATTGCGCTTATCCCGGTATGTAACATTTATTTTCTGCCTATTTTTGCAATTTACGATCACTATCCACACGGAAATAAGAAATGGTTTTTCTTTGGTGAAATTATGTCATAATTGATAGTAACATCGCCCGATGCTTGCATACTCGATAACAATCGATTAAACCCTTCGGGGACATCCCTCCTTATCATGAAACATGGTCGCCTTATCTATTAAGCAATTAAGTTTATATGTGTCCAATAATCAAAGCAACATGATCTTTCGTTTAACTAAAAAAATATATATTAATTATTATGTTTTCGGCTTACTCACGTAATAATTTGACGAGATACTCGACTCGTTTCAAGCCATGCTAGAGGCCCATATTCAGGAGCAGCATTCCGCGACACGCGACATGGCGACTGTCGCGCAGCTACTGAGTCTAGCATGGCTTGAAATTAGTGGAGTATCTCGTCAAATTATAACTTGAGTAAGCCGAAAACATAATAATTAATTTAGAATGTGTCACGAAAGTTATAAAAAAAATATGATTTTAGTTTATTTTCGTCGTGTTTGGTGATTGAGCTTCTCCCAGTTGTGCAGTCTCTTTTGTGCATTAAGGCAGAAGCCATTCTGTTTGAGTCAAAGTGATCGAAGTTATTCATGCTCCTTTGACTTTAGCGATACGGTGTTTTCATGGATGTAGGCTGCAGATTATGGTTGTGAAAAGTTAATTACCTACAACAAACAAATATTTTGGAAGACAACGTGCGTAAATGCTGTCTTAAAAATCACATATCAACCATACAAATTGTTGCATATTACCAAATTAATTTGCGGATAATTTACAGGATTCATAATTCACAGAACAACAACAAGTCAAAGAAAATATTAGGAAAGTAAGGTACAACAGATCTTTGGAAGAAAAATGCACTATGTTCAACTAGAAATGACCACTGCCTACATAAAAAAAAATATTCAACGCAAATTTGAACGTTACATACAAAACACACGGAGACAAGATACTTTTTATGTTTTCCATTAAAAAAAACGTATTTCAATGTCAAGGAAACCAGTAATAGTCGACCTTTGCACCGCAACTACTTAAGCAAACCTACCGACACTTGTCTATAATACCTATACTAATATTATAAAGAGGTAAAATTTGTAAGTTTGTATGTATGGGGTAATCTTTGGAACCGCTGGTCGGATCGCCAAAATTATTTCACTGATAGATAGCTACAATGTTCCCGAGTGCTATAGGCTTATATAAAACATCACGCTACGATTAAATGGAGCCGAGCAGCGGGTAAAACCGTGCGAGAATAGCTAGTACTTAATAACTTGCTAGCTTTTGGCCGCGACTGTGTAGACTAGAAACACCTTTTTGAGGGAAAAAATCGTCTCAACCGGGGTTGCGGGTGCGCAATGCGTCACCGCGGCCTCGCCCCAGAGCAGGAGAAGGAACGGGGGGGTTTTTAGTCAGTAAGAGTCTGACAATCTCTCTCGCCTAACCCTGGACGGGAGAAGTCATTTGATAACTTTCCCCTGACAAAAAAAAGGAGAAAATCGTCTAACGACTTCTCCCGTCTAGGGTGAGAGGGAGTGTCAGTCCCTTACTGACTAAAAGCCACTGCGTTACGTTTCTTTTTTTTTGCGTGCCCCTCACTATGATTTCTTCTGTTTTCGTGCATTACAAACATACCAATTCACATGCACAAACCACCCAGACCCGACAATATTTGGATCATACAATGTGGTGTTCTAAGAGGGCATCAAACCCGCGACACAGTTGCATGCCAGTCTATTCTTTAGCTCTTTTAAGGCTGTTTCATATACACATCCAAAAGCAATTTGTCAATGAATCCGTCACCGGTGAACGAAGAAAAGTATATGTATGTAAGTATACATACTTATTTATACATATGTACTTATATTGATTAGTAACTTGAACATTGGTTTATGTTGTGGAGTATTTGTATCCTATTTTGAAACATCTTACATCAGAACATACTATTAGCTAGAACAAATGTTTGTTTTTATCTATTTGAATGTAATTAACGTGTTTCTATGTATTGAAATTTTCTTGTTTTATGCTATAGCTGTGTTAATATAGATTTTTTTTATTGATTATAGGTTCGCGCTTGGCCGCTATCTCACCGAATCTTTGGAAAGCGACGATGTGGTCGACGATGGAGCGCGCTTACCTAGAAATAACCTAAAGATACTGGGTTTGTAGTTCAGGAAACACCGACTCCGGCAAGGAATTCCACTCCTTGGCTGTACGCATGATGATGATGGGATATCCAACATGTTACCGGTGGCGCAATTTTATTAGAGTTAGGTGGTTTTCGGGGTTCAAAAATATTTAGATTTTTTATTAGAATTAATTCTTCAAAGAAAATCATACCCTTATTCATTGGTTTGGCGAAAAATTAAACTTTTATAACCTTTACGTTCAAAATTATATCGAAATCGTAACAGCCATTTCTGAGATCATATGAAATTATCCTTATAACATACAAGAATCGCTTGTTTCAGGGAATGTTGTTTTCGACTTTGCATTTGATGTGGCTGACAACGGATCGTGTCTAAATGCAAGCCATCCTATTTACTCTTGAATAAATTTACATAGGTACTTAAAGCCCTGACTGGAAGACTTATAGAAGGAAGCCGTAAAGTTACTTTAAAATTTTCTCATACGTTGCATTCCCCCACCGATTTGGAATTTTTTTTAGCCCCATTCTGTTTAAAAACATACAATTTCACATATACGACACACGTAGACACGGAACAACAATTCGGATCACGCAAGAGGTTGTTTTTACAATAACTATCGTGAGACATACAAAATTAACTAAAAATCGCGGTTTACTCACGTGTATACACTGACAAAAGCTCTACTAGTTTCGAGCCACAGAGGGGTTCTTCCTCATGAGTCCTGCCGCTTCTTATACAGAGTAACCCGCGTAAGTAATTTTTAGTTATTTTCACAAGAAGTTGTTCCGTGTGAGGATCGGAACAGGGACGCGTCGCGCCGCAGCCAGTTTCCCAGCCGATGCACCAACTGTGCAGTTAATAATAATAATAATAGGTGCAACTTACATTGTACTGATCGCCGGCGTCTGGTAAATGCAATGACTCTATGCAAATGACGAAGTTCTCCTTCATGTAGCCGGGATTCTGGAACGCAGATAAGAAAATCATTAAAATCTTTTGACTTTTATCTTTAAAACTACGCAACGGATATTGATGCAGGTTTTTTTAAATAGGCAATGTTATTCAAGGGGACGATTTATAAGTATAATAACATATATTAAACAGAGGAGAAATTTAGTATCACAACATTGCACCCGTGTGAAAGTGGAGCGGGTCGCTAGTAATAATAATAAAAAAGAAATTTTTCGTCTGAAGAAAAACAGCGTTTTTTTACATATGTTACACTGATCAAATTGTAGAAAGAGAATGAAATAAATTTAACATTTTAGAAGAAGACGTGAATGTTACCTATGTTTATTTTTAATAACTTTTCAGTACGTCAGTTATATAAATAAAAATACATATAAAAAGACATAAACCAGTATAACTATCGTATTGAATTATTTTAGTTTATTAAAATAAACAAGCCGCTTCAAATTTTCAACATTAGGAAAGACTTATGCTCAGCAGCGCTCTTTAAGGCTGATTTATTTATTATTCATTCACAAAAAAAAAACAAGTTTAGTTTTACAGGTTACCCCAATGCATTATACAGTTAAGAAATATATTATATTATCTTAATTATATAATAAGATAATAACAGTAGGTAATATTATTCAATAGATATTGGTAATCATGTAACCAGGTCTTTAAAGGAAACTAAGTCACCACCATCAGGAGACTCACGATAATCCCACCCTAATAAATTAATATTATTAATTTTATCGCACATATTATGAGAGGATGTCCAAGAAACACTCTATCCCTATGCACATAAGGATGATTTTGGCACTGCAGTTTGGTTTTGATTATTATTAATAAAAAGATAAGATATTGTTATCATTTGTTAAATAAATACCGAGGATTTATTGGGATCGGAATTTTCAAATGTATGTATGTATTTATTACCGACAGTACAAAATGGAATGCATATCCAAGGCAGTTGCAAGAGCCGAAAAAGAGAACAGACATTAGACAGAGACAGAGCATTAGCACTCTAATAAAACGGATTGCAAAGGAGGTTACGGAAACCCATCATTTATAGATGAGGCTCAAAGTCCTCCTAGAAAAAAAATTAAAACCTGGACATACACAGCATTCATTTGCCAATCTTCTGCACCAACCGTGTATTCAATAATTTACTAAACAGTTAACAATTTACGATTCACGAAATTTAACGAAGTAACTCGACAAATTTCGAGCCTTGATGGGGCTCATAAAAAGTCTTACCGTGAGCACAGTCCGGCAGTACGGGTACGCGTTCCACGCTTCTTCGTGCACCTCCAAGGAGCCTTTGGGCGCCAACAATCTGATGAAGGCGGGCACCTTCGAGGCCAAGTGGTAGATCTTGTATGTGTACTGGCCCGACGAGAATTTGCCACCTGCATCATTCATATTAGTTGATTAAAAAATCAGAAACAGTTTAATGTTCTCAAATACTTTTTGGGTATAGGAGGTATGGAATAAAATATTTGATTTATAATTTTTATTGTCCGTTAGCTCACTTTTTAAAGTCTATTTGTTTGGTGTTTGGTGAAGTTATTTAGATCCGAGGTGTAGATTCGAAACGGAAAGAGAGTTTAAATCTCTAATAGTCTTTATCAGTTTAAAGTAAAAGTGATTATTCAATATAGGTACGTTTGGCTGTTTAGTAACACAGGTAAATAAATAATATACTACATAGTCTTCGTCACGTTTTTAGATAAGGTGTTTTACACGCATTATCTGGCTATTTCGCTTTACTTTGAATATGTATAAATAATGGTGTCACCAATCATCCTCTAAGATAGACCATTCTTTTTACATGTACAAATTGTTCGCTTTTAATCGCTCTGAGCGCCCTCTATACCTTTTTAATAATAATACATTTTTTATACGATAAGTCGGCAAACGATCACATTATTACCTGATGGTAAGCAATCGGCGCCGCCCATGGACACTCGTAGTACCAAAGGTACAAGTGCGTTGCCGGCCTCTTGTGGGTTATTAGGGATTTAAGGATAGGGGATTTGAGGATGTTGGGAAGGGGGAGGGTGGAAGAATAGGGCCCCGGTAACCTCACTCACACGGCGTACATTTTTATTTAATTTAATTTTACATTTTAGACAAGTATTTTTCGTTCTTTGTGCTCGCGTTTTACAAATAAACTATCTTTATTAGTACCGCGAATTCGTCTCGCACTTGACCGCCTTTTTATAGTGGCAAGCATTGACGACTGCCTTACTTAATTGAATTGTAACATCGACGGCCGATGTCTAGTGCACCGGAACGTTCTATCGAATGAGTATCAACATCGATATAATTGACGATCCCATCGACTTCGCAATTCTATCAGAATCTATACTAGCACTAGCTTATATGGCATCTATTTCGGATAAAAAATGTTAAGGATGAAAAACTTATCATTTAGTGGTATGAAAATTAGCCAGTAGTCGATTCTTAGACCTACTTTTTGAGGATGGAAAGTCATCAAATGTCTTCTGTTAATGATTAAAACCCTATCGCGTTTGACAAGTGACCCCGTCAAATTCTCACCTACCGAATATGCAAAAAATATATTGGTAAAAAATTGTTAAGCCGTTTCGGAGCAGGTAAATAACGTCGTGACACGAAAATTTAAAAAAATAATCTTTGAATATAAAACGTTTTTCAGTCTCCAAAGAGGTCTAGTTTCAATCACATCTTTAAAAAGGGAAGTGGCCTGGCGGTGGGCCTAATTTAAACATCTCAAAAAATCCTCTAATATTTCCTTCCCACACTTGACCACAGACACGTTACGTTTTATCATTCTAACTACTTACATCTGTTCAAGTTTCATTTCGAGTAAGGAACTGACAAGTCTGACCTAGAATTAATACGTTAAGCTTAAAGTACCTAAAATAAATCCATTTAGTCAACTAGGTATTTAAAAATCATAAAACCTTCGTCTTCCAATTAGTGCCTACTTAAAATTAACTAGAAGATAATGAAATCAGGAGCTTGGCCAGCGGTGAGTAGGTTCAGCCGGGGTTGCGGGGTAAGCGCAATGAGGCACCGTGACCTCGGCCCAGAGCAGGAGTAGGAACAGGGCGGTTTTAGTCAGTAAGAGTCTAACACTAGCGGGCGGGAGAAGTCATTTGATGATTTTCCCCTCACAAAAAAAGCGGTGAGTAGGTACTACAATACCTTATACTTTACAACACGGAAAAGAAAACTCCTTAATATTTTTATAAACCACACAATATCAGAACTGATTTCGAAAATTGGCCACAAAAAGGACACGACGTTTGACGACTCGGTAGTCTTTTCAAACAGATTAAAAATATCAATTAAGACCATAGTCCCATTTTGTTTCGTTTATTCTCTTTCACCGCAAGACGGGCGAAGTATTTCAAAAGCCAATGCAGTTAAGGTCACGAGTTTTTGACCCTGAAGTAAAATTGAAACGTCGAATGCTATGACGTCATTGTTATGTCATCGCCAGACCTCTTGTGTTAAGTTACGACATTCTCAAAATTGTGAAAAAAGAATATAGATATTTGAAATTTAATACCAAAATAATTAGAAGGACAAAAATGATCCCATAAGGATCCCATATAAACCATATGATGAGTTTGTATTTTTAGGGGATATAAATAGGTAAACGACAGTTTTGAAGACTGCATCATTATCATATCATCATTTGGATATTGCCAAGCCTCGTATGGTTAGACATAATATGCAAGAAGTAAAATTTCGTAGTAGTCATGTTTCGGTACGAATGGGCCGTCTAGTATCGACCGCAGTGATACCACAGCCTCGCAGAAAACTAGCAACAAGGGAATACACTTGTCACTCCTCCGATGTTGCTCACTACGGTGCCTTACTATCATGTCTGTGACGTCATGTCATGTGTGAGACTATCATGTCTTACTGTCATCCATAAAATCATTTTTAAAGTGTCGAATCTCAAGTTGGTGCCTTTAAGTGACTAAAACTAAACAGATACGCTTGCACAGTCGCATTTAAAATCAAGATTGTCTTCCACAATACACTAGTAACACATTTATTGTCTTTCGACGGTCTTTTTTATTATAAACTGTGCACAACATTCATACTTTGCGTGGGACATCTGTGTAAACTGTAGTATGACGTCGCTACTCGCAAAAATAAACAATATTTGCTCGCTATACATAGAAACAAAGGATCTGTTTCTATGGGACGATCAAAGAAACTATGATGCGATTTTTTTGAGAAGGGTAAATCGTCAAATGGCTTTTCTTGCCCAGGGTGAGGCGAGAGGGAGAGTCAGACTCTTACTGACTAAACCACTTCCCCCTCCGTTCCTTTTCTTGCTCTACCTTATTGCCCTCGACCCGGAACCCAGGTTAATCATAGCTCCTCTTGGGCCCTATCTTTGGCGGAATAATGATCCGTCGTCAAGAAGTGACTTAGTGGAACAATTTTCGTTAGATACAGCTGCACCGCCACTTTATAAGCCTGTTCTAATGGGCAGCGATCGCTCAGTGTGTCAGGTCGAAACTGACACATTCAGAATGGAAAAGCGATGTCTGTAATACTTGCAAATATGTTCGTAGGTTATGAGAACAGACGCCTTGGAAACTCTTTTGCCTTTTGCATGTGATAGAGTTTCAAACGAGCAGACGGATGACTTGAGGAAAGCAATCGACGTCGATGGACACTGGTCCCACTAGAAGTTATACGAGTCCGTCGCCAGCATTTTGGGGGTTAGGGCCATGAGAATCTGGGACTTGGGCCTACCGTATAAGCTTTAAAGGATTTCCAGTAGATTCTGTTACGCATTCACAGAGACTAACCGCTGGATACCTTCAAGAGATATAAATCCGAATATAATACACACAACATTCGACCTTATGAGCTCAAAGTCAGTACTTCATTCATCAGACCACCTGTTACGCACATACAAATATCGCAATGCGCTTACAATATATATCTCATAGATAAAATAAAACTTTAGACAATATTCTAAGCCTGATATAAGCCTAGGCAAATATTTGAACGCGTCTAGATAAAAAAAACGGTAGCAGAAAACGTTCCTATATATGTTCAAATAATTGGAGGGTAGATTGACAGTTTGAAAGTAGGATTTGGTTCCGATTCAACATGGCTTTACTGGATATCCACTGTAAATTGTTAGTGATGTGCTCCAATACGTATCTGGGAATATTATAATCTACATATTGTATAAAAATGTATCCTAATATCCTTTGGTCTAAAGCGATTCTGATTTTATTTAGTTCCGTGTTTACTAAGATAGGGAAAGAATCACATTGAGGGTCATGTGGAGACGGAATGGTGTCCGATGGTACCGGATGATTAGCTTTCAATAATTTCTTTCGGCAGTCAAAGACTCGAGAGAAAGTATTTGAAAAGACGACGGGACAATGTAATTGGGAAATAGCCTTATACTTAAACCGTTTAGATACCATGGAGGTACTCCTGCAAAACAAAAGACTGATATCGAAGTAGATGGACATCCGACGAGCTGCTAGTAACAAATGACAAATTTGTTTGTTTGTACAAATAGTTCAGAATAGGCTCTGAAACTACGAGACCGATTTAAAATATTACTCTGGACATGTCCTTATAGGATCGGTACCTACGTTTCGAGTGCATATCGAGTTCAAAACATAGCCCTCTTTACTGAAGTCGCGTCGTAAGTTAACTATGGGAATTAATCAACATTATGTAAAAACACATAAATTCAGTTTTGTATTTGTACAATAGACCATTATTCAAGGCTTGAAAGAAAAGTAAATTATGATTTATTTCTATGATGCTCTAAGTCTGACAAATTCATAATTTATATTGATATTATGAACATTTATTTATTTGTAAATATTACAACATATTTTTTTGTTACGTAAAAACATTACGTTTGCAGACCTTTTACATACACATCATTCCCAGATCCGAAACAAAAATTTGTGGATCACAAGAAGTGTTGCTACCTAAACCTAATTCCTCGGGGAATCAAGAAATTACCATGACTTCTGGACATGAAAGCATAAATCAAAGCGTGGGAGAGCCTTGCTCGATGCTTCGGCACGAATGGGTCGGCTCGACCGGAGTGATATAGCGGCTTTGCGGAAAACCGGCGTGAAACGACCACAGCGTTGTTTCGCCGTGTGAGTAAGGTTACCGGAGGCCCAATCCTTCCCATTCCCCAAAAAGTTGGCAACGCATTCGTAACTCCTCCGTTGCTGCATGGTAATTCGTTTTTAAGTTTGGCGTCCTATCACATAAAGAAATGACCCACGGGGATAATAACATTTAAGTTTAGGAGAATCATGCTTCGGCACAAATGAGCTTTCTAGTCTCAAATTCTCGGAAAACTAGTATGGATCAGATTGCGCGTTGAGTTTCGTAGTATGAGTGAGTT